AATTCTCAGCAAGACAGACAAGTTTCATGCTCAACCTGAAAAATTGGGGGTGGAGGCAGAGTTCCTTCCAAATGCAGAGCTATTTGTTTGGTTTGGCCACCAAGAAAAATAAAATACAATCAAGTGTCCCAGAGCCATAGTAAGAGGTGGAGGTCACAAGAAAACAGATCATGTCTTTCACAGCTCTTCGCCTTCCTGAATTACAACTCCTATTATTTATTCCTGGATTTCCCACCCCAYGTACAGGCTCCACCCATTCAAAAAACAGAAAGTGCCTGCTTCAAAGAACTGACAGGATAAGCAAGAAAGTAAAACTTGTCCTCACATTTGACTAACCTCCTTGTCCACTTTACATCTGAAAGGCCAGATGCTCTCTCAAACCTTGGCTGGCTTCTGCTGTCCCCTGCTCAGCAGGGTGCAGTGCGTGAAGACAGACACATTTCACCACTCTTCCCTGYAGTAGGTAACCACCAAACACATCAGTGCTGCCCACTGGTCCTCCCTGTGCCAGCTGCCTTTGTGTTGCAGCTCAGAGCCTTTTTGGCAGAAGCAGGTGGGTTTGCTTAGGAGGGTGCTGTTCCCTGGCTCTTCAGCCCTGACAGGATCTACTCAATGCCTGGGGAATGTCACAGGATCTTGGCACTGTCCCTAGTACTTCTCACTGGAAATGGYGAGACCCCAGACTCTACCCAAATCAAGGCAACCAGGGCTGAAACAGCAGGAAATCCCACTGGTTTCTAGACATCCTCACTCTAGACATCCTCATTCTGTCCTGAGAATTAGCCCTCTCTGGGTTCATAAGAGCCAAGCAGACAAACTTTACAGGGMGGCTTCCAGGCTCATCAGTTTTCTGAAGGAGGTGCTCACACCTTAGTCTCTTGGAAGATTCCAGTTTCTCTTAAAATCTACAGTCCTCCTTCCCTTTTACACACTCAGGTTTTACTTTTGGTCTTTTCTCTCTCCACAAAACATCTGATATAACTTCCCTCAAGGTGGCAATCCCTTTCAAAGTTGCAATCCCTTTCAGGCAACATCCTTGGCCYGCCTCAAGGATAGTTAGATGTCCCCATTGAAGAATTATTGGGTTACTCACCTCCCAAACAGGTGGGTTTGTTCTAGGCAGTCACTGTTTAAGTTGAGCATTGTCTTCCTAGGCAGATAAATACCCTACAGAGCTGCTCCCTTGATAGCATTTCACTGTGTAGAGATTTTCTCTTGATATATTTATCTTAGACATTATCTTTGTTATTTGACATATTCTTAGGCATACTAAAGCATTATAAATATGACCTCTAAATATGATCTGTTTTGCCTTGTTTYTCCTGTTATATTGCTTATTATCCTCACAAGCACCTGTTATGCTGTGTTTTCTTCTCAAATTTTGCCAGGAGAAAAATAAATGAATGCAGTTTCACTTAGGATGGGCAMTATTCAGCTTTTTAAGTTAAGGGAACTTATAGACCTTCCCTTCATAACCACATCAAAACCAAACAAGATTAGTTATTCGATGGTGTCAAAACCTAGGAAATTCTCTTGACTATGGAATATTTTAAAATACAGATATCCACCCAACAARTAAATTTCACTTTTGTTAACAACATCTCATGGCCTTTTAATATTTGCCTATAATTTTGTTTCTTTAATGCATCTGTATTCTTATTAGGTTTGAACTGGCAGGCAAGGAGACAATTCTCAGATAACGAGCAGGAAAAACAACAGAATCCATTTTCCCAAAGGGACTAGAAATAGTTAACTAGGCACAAGTAACAAAGCCCGTTTCCTCACTATCAGAATTTAGCCTGGACCACAGAGTTAGGGAACTTCCCTTGAATTAGGTTGGGGCAAGGACAGGAAGCTGCATCTTCTAAGCTTTAGAAAGAGATCTTAAATATGTAAACATAAGATCTTATGCCCCTATCTTTTCAGTARCATTTATATTATCTAAAATAAAAAAATCTTTCTGAAGTTAGTCTGTAATTGACATCTGACACAGTCCACACTGCAAGAGATATGATAAGTGCAGTAAACGGTAGAAATTATGCTTCTCTATGCTCTGAGAAACATTCATATTTCCTTACACAGATAAACTTTGTTTTGTTGCTATGCAACCCTCACACAACACCACTACATTCTACAGTAAATAAGAGTACAAGTTTTACAACCGAAGGGCAAACATTTGGCCTTTTAGGGTTTCTCCCCATTTTGAGTTCCAGCCCAAACTTTAGTTCACACTGTAATATTATATTATTTTATAACAAAGCTGTCTATAAAGCTCACAGATTCACAGATTCACAGAATATTTAAGGTTGGAAGGGACCWCTASAGATCATCTAGTCCAACCTTCCTGCTCAAGCAGGCACACCTACAGCATGTGGCACAGGGTGGCATCCAGGCGGGCTTTGAAGACCTCCAGAGTAGGAGACTCCACAACCTCCCTGGGCAGCCTGTTCCACTGCTCTGTCACCCTAACAGTAAAGAAGTTGCTCCTCACCTGGAGACRGAACTTCTTRTGYTTCAGCTTGTGGCCATTACCCMTCGTCCTATYGCTGGCCACCAGTGARAACAGCYTGTCCCCTTCCTCCCTGCATTCTCCCTTCCTGAACTTATACATATTAATCATATCCCCTCTGAGCCGTCTCTTCTCCAGAGAAAACAGGCCCAAAACAGGCCCAACAGCTCGGTAAGGGATACCTCAAACAGAGCAAAAAGGGGGATCAGGATGCACAAGTCCTTTGACAGTGATGGGAAACAGAGGGCTTGAACCTGTCCCAGCTTCTATCAACAGTAAAGTGCCTCATAATGTCAATAACAGTGGAAGAGTGAAATTAAGATTTTATCTTTTAAAACTTCCTTAAAAATGAACACTAGATTTCCAGAACAAAGTTTGAGAGRTTTCTGCAGCGGCTTCTCCCTGCTCCCAGGGGACATTACTATAATCACAATGGAAGTGAGGTGCTGAAGAGCCAGCCTTAGTTATACCCAGGATTAAATTAGTAGAGTCTTACCTCCTCTGCCTGCTCACTCTGGTCGCTCTGATCACTTACCAGTTCCAATGTTCTTTACAGTTGCAAAAGTTCTCCTGGGTTCAGAGGGCATTTGGATTGTTCGGAGAAGCAGATCCTGTACTGCTCTGTATCCTCACCATAAGCAGAGTGATTAATACTAAGCTTTGTCTAAGGAATGTTCTGGAAAATTGTAGGGAGTCGCTAGGAGGTCTTTAGTACTGTCTTTCCAAATCCCRGGCTAGAACCTCAATTATTCAAGTTTCTTTTCTGTCCGTGGCTGCAGATCCTACAAAGTCTGCCATGGTTTAGGCCTTCAGTTGCCCCTGAGCACGTAATCCAGCGGCTCTTGTGCTGTACCAGGCGGATGGGCAASTCCCTATGAAGTCACAGGGCCTGGCAGGCCTCGGGCACAGCACTGCTCACACGCAGTTTCTGCTGCTGCCTCCGCTGCTGCTCTGGAAAAGCCGCACACTTCAGAGCAAGTGCTGCACCGTGACAAAGCTGCAGTGCTTCTGCACTGTCTAAACGTCCCTGTGAGACTCAGGAGAGCTGTAGAGAGAAGCTACTTAGGGCCCTCTGCACTGTATTCCTGGAAGCAAAACCTCCTGTTGCTTTGAGTAGCTCACACACACAACAGAACTTGCTTGCTCTGGCTAAAAAGATGATGCCCGTAGGCCTCRGTGGTGCTGCGCTGAGCTTGGAGCCTTCACAGTGGCTCTGCGCTTGACGTCCCACAGCACCTGGTGGTGCTTCTTTCTTTATCTAGGTTTGTCCCTCCTAGAGTCACTTAGCTTCTTGTCGCCGCAGAAATGGAGAGCTGGCTGCRATTCTGAAGGACCAGACACTATCATTGAGCCTGGGGCTACCAAAGGCTAGAGGATGCCAGGCATAAAGTTAATCAGCTGCTCTGCCACATCTGCCTCAAAATGAAAGTGCTGTTGCCCCTGAAATAAAACACCACCAAGACAACAGGCAAGCAGTTATTATGAGACAACTGAAGCACTTCAAAGCTGCACCTCAGCTTTGCATCTCCTCATGAATACAGTGTTTTCTGTGTGAGAATGGGTTAATCATATGAGGCTCTGAAGGCCCATGGTGCACAGAAAGACTCCCTCACTTCAGAGATGGAAGCCATCAGGAGCTGCTGCTGGCTTTGCTCCCTGAGATTTGGGCCGTGAGATTTGGGATGCACCCTGCTAGCCAAGGCCCCAAAAGGGCCAGGTRCCTCTGAGGATTTACTTATAGGTAAGAGCATTTGAGGCACTTCACAGAGTTTGTGTGGGTGTTTTATATCAAAACCGGATTCCAATCCATCAGAGATTGCCAACGTGCATTTTTAAACATTTCTAGGATTCCAAAAATAAAAATCAATCTCAGGYTAAATCTCAGAAATGAGGCATTTTAAGCCTGCTTTGTATATCACAGAGAGGAATACAGAAGGTGGAAATGGCACAAGCTCCATTATACTTACACCCCTAACACGTCCCTTATGACCTATTAGCACCTGAATTTCTCTATCCATAGAAGTCAGGAAGCAAGAAACACACTGCCCTCTTTTGAAGCATGGAGATCTATAAGTAACCTCTCCCTATAAATTCGTGACAAGGGAAGAAATGCAGTTGGTGCCCACCGTTACGCCACTGACTTATCCAAGAAATAATCTAAAATATCCAAGAAAATATCCAAGAAATAATCTAAAACCAAAAAAAAAGAGTGAAGAAATGGAACTCAGATCCAGGTGCAGTCAACATAACTTGTGGAAGGCAATCAGGCTACACAGATTTGCCCATGCCAAAGATCTGACCTGTCATGTGTAGTTGTTTCCTTGCAAGGGTTTACTTAAACCACAGAATTATCCCAGTTTTGCATTGTTGTTCAGTTCTTTATAACCAACAGTCCTCTAAACACTCCTACACTGYGTAAAGGAATAGTGTAGAGAGTCAATAGGAAAATGATACTGTGTTCACAGGAAAGCAATTTTTAATCTGCATGATCTGAAGTGTAGTTTCTTCTCAACAAGAAATATTCCTGGCATTTTGAAGTTCCACATTTTCATAATTGTTTGCTATCAAAACATCTTTATAGTTTCATTTTAACAGCGAAGTTACTTCAAGTCATGCAAGTTAGCGTTAACATTTTTATACACATGATTAGTTAGGAAACACCTTTGAATTTGTGTTTTGGTCTAGTATAAGGGCCCATCTCTCCAATCATAACCCACAGTACAGCTTTCCAAAAGAGCCAAGCAGTATATGGGAACACCTGTAGAAAGTGCTTCAAATGCTACTTGAACAAATGATCTCATGCAGAGCAACAGGCCAGCCCTCCTCAGTAAGGATGGCAGGACAAGGCCCAGAGTAGATGCAGTTGCTTTTTATCCAGTAACACACTTCACATACAAGTTACAGCAGCTGAGGTGTGTATCTTCGATCCTAAATCTTGGAAGCACTTAGTTGATCTCTTCGTATCAGCGTCCTGTCAATTTCTTCTACGCTCCGGCATCCTGGTGGAGGAATTATAGGCAAGTTGAAAGCCCTACTCTTCTGAAAAAGGTGAATATAAAATGCTAAGAAGGAAGTTTCATAGTTAGGGCCCAGATACCAGCTCTGTAGAGTCCCCTCTTTCACAACACATTGTCCATGTGGCCCTTTGCAGTTTCAGGAGTTTACAACACCCTAAGCAGAGGCCTTTGCCTAGTACTGGTCAGGGGACCCAGCTGCAGATGCTGCCTGCAGACACTGGTTGCGAGTTGTGTTGCAGCACAGGTGACTGCACCAAGGTTTCTTCAGACATCCTAACATGTCTAAGTGCACCTGCCCCAGGCAACCTAGCTGCAACATGAACATCTCTTCCTGTAGATAACTGCATTCTGTCAGATGACAAAACCTGGGGTGACTGAGGATTTGCCACTCATTATCAAAGAATTACTGCTCTACTTGTTAATTTTATTTTTGGTTTTACTTAAAGCATTTGCAACTCAGTTCCCAAACTAAGGCAGGGATCCCAGCATTTTCTTTTCCCAGCTGCCCTCAAACTTGCCTATGTTGCAAACTGTTCCTTTTCCCTTGTATAGGTGAGTATAACACTTTGCTCAAGGGGCCTCTAACCYGGATTCCCAAAATAAACAGCATAAACCAATAAAGACTTTGGTGCARTGGTTCTGAAGACTGAGCACTGAGGCCCTGGCTTTGGGTGGGTATCAAAGCCCTGCTATTCAATTTACAATAGTAAAGGTCTCTTTCAAGGCCCCTTTAAGGAGACAGTTTAAAAAGACTGCCCAATGTGGAGAAGTGCTACGTGCAGTCACTGTCTAGCTGGTACCAAGAAAGGAAGGGAGCTAGCGTGTCTCTCATTTTACTCTGCTGCTTCACAGATGAAAAAGGSAGGATTTGGGCCACTGTTTTCTTAATATTGCTGTGATTCTCAAAGATGAAAGCTATTAGGAAACCCAAGTCAGATATGGCTATTGCTGAAAAGTGTAAATGTCTCACCCGTCAGGGCCATTGCCAGGCGAAACTCTTCCTTCAGCAACTGCAGAACTTCCTTTGCTCCTTCTTTCCCCTAGTAGATTAGAAGACAATATGTATTCTCACATGTACACATGGCATGTGTGCGCATACATATACATATGTGTGTATAACATCTCTGGGAAGTTTAATGGACATCTAAACTCTTCACACTTAAGCACTTGTCATGACAAGTTTTCGRTACACACAGATGCATTCCACCACCCTTGCACACATGCAAACACGTAGGTGCACACATACATTCATGGGCTAAGCAAGAACAGCCAGCCCAGGAGTCTGCAAATGTAAATTTGAGCTTTTCCTGACTTACTTGATAAACCAAGCCCCAGATGAGAGGCCTTCCAATGAACACTGCTTTGGCTCCAAGAGCCAACGCTTTGAGAACATCCGTGCCTTTTCTTACACCACCATCGAGGAACACCTCCACCTTTCCCTCTACAGCCTCAACGATTTCAGGCAAGACATCAATCTAGAAGAGGGGAAAAGAAAACAAAAAAACACACAAATATGACTTGTCCACTTCTGCTATCTTGTTTATTAAAAAAACTTCTGTCTAGGATCCAAGCTTAGAAGAGCTAAATGGTTAATATATGGCTCATCACATGCACAAATAATGCAAATTTGTTTTTAAACATTGAAGTGACTTAGTGTGTTAGCAAATATATATATATAAGTCAAATTTATTTGGACAGTCACATAAATAAATGAGAATCAGCAGGGTCACACAGAATTTCTATCTGATTCTATGACACACATCCAACAATCCAGTATCAGATCCTTCAGAAGAATAAGAGAAACAGCAAGAACAGTAGAAACTTCTCCCCGGTATTTCCACCTTAACTTAGAGTTCACTAGTTTGAGAATGAAACCAAATTTCTGGGAATTTCTTTTTAAATATCACCTTTTCTTTCTTGCTTGTATTAAGGATCACCTATAATCAAGCCCAAGGCAGGCATTGTATTGGTAGGTGTGGCGTAAGAGAAGGATGTGACCAAGTTTTCACAAATGAGTTTTCCCATTTAAGAGCACATCACAATCAAGAACACAGTTGTATGTAGGGAGGAATTTCTTTATAAGAAAAACGTGGCTTTCTCCGAGCACTCTTGAAGTTTTCACATTTTAACATGAAGAACATTTTAACATTTCACATTTTAACATGAAAAAGCTATGAAATGTTTTCATCTACTGCATGTGTACGCTCACTTTCACCAAGTGCTGCTCACACCCTAGCAATGGGAGAGGTACAGCTAAGTAATCAAGGGGTTAAACATCATGGCCACACACAAGAAGTCCTAAGAGAAGAGACCCCAGAATTCAAGACTCAACCATTAATTACACACCAATCATTCCTGTAATACCTAAAAGGTTCTTATTCAGGAAAATCAGGAAGGGCAAGACTGGCAACTAAGTATTAAGGAGATTGGAAACAGTATGTGGCAGTAAGACAAAAGGCACACAAAAATCGTGTCTTTCAAAAACGGAAGTAATTCATTTCCTTTCCAATGGATAAAAAATGACTAGGAGACTGGAGGAAAGAAACTTGAAAGTAGAGTTTGTTTTTAGATTTGAATTAAAATTTTCCTGAAGTTTGGCATGTGCTGTGATTTTTTTTTCCCCACTCCCTTTGGTTTTGCTCTCTTGCCAAACATATTTTGGATCTATTTCCATATATATAGAGCACTTCTTACATCCTGACAAACGACACCAACATTAAAGTGCTAGAATAACTAAAGCATGATGCAAACCATAATTAAAATACAGATTTCCTCAATGTGTAACTAGACACTAGAAATATTAACCAGCTTGGGTTCAACTCACGTTCTGAAAAACCATGAAATTAAAGCAAATAATTATGTTTCAATATGCATGATCTGATACAGATATTTACGGATGAAAACTGCACAATAAAATACGAAATCTATACAAGATGAAATCCAGTGAATACTACTGTACTAGCACCTTCTCCTCTGCATTGTAGTGTTGCAGAGAAATATAAAAACGAGTTTGCAAGTTTAAAGTCTGCTTTAGTGCAATAAAAAAATTACTTGTTTTTTTCATATTTCAAAGCAATTGGTTAATATTGCCCCGTATTCCTCCCAGAGGATTACCTCACACAGACATGTCCCAGGTTATGAAATACAGTTAGCCAAGCTGGGACACAGACTCTCAAAAGAGAACAGAGAGATGGAGGTGACAGATGTAGACAAAAACAAACAAAATGAGACACTTTGAGCACATTCAGGACCTTGATGGGTCCACGTAAGGACCTCCATGGAGCAGAGGGTGGAGGAAATCAGCCAAGTTGCCCCCAGAGCACGAAGCAGAGCGGTCCTGGGGAGGAGGGGATGAACAAGACTAGTCTGCTGAGTTGAGTGAATAAAACTTGACTTTCAAAACACTTCTGAATGAAAAGCCTTACCTGTCCTCCTCCTCTTGCAGAAAGTCATCATGGAAAACAGMAGGTTTTTCATTAAAGGCATATTAAGAACCCTGAAAGTCACAACTGGGCTTTGATTCTCYTCCCTTTCATTCTTTTTTTCTTGCACTGTTTTCTCACACCAAATGAAGCAGGATGAATGATGACTGAAATTTTTGTGTTTTTTTTCCCTTGCAGTTTGAACACATAATTTTCCCTTTACTTCTCTCTTTGCCAATTCAGAACTTCTCAATCCCTTTTCACCTTTGGAAAAGGTATAGAGTAGCATGACAAGGAAAAGGAAAAAGGAAAATTACTGTAACTTAATCACATCATACTGTTTCCAAAGGCAAAAAGGCTTGAAAGGCAAAAAAGGAGAGCTTCATTTTTCCTTTACCTGTTCTGTAACTCATTTTTTCAGATGTCTATGGAGAATATGAGAAGTGGAAAAGAATTCCAGCACAACCTTTAGTTTTTGCAAATGGCAACAAAGGGAAGGGATGGGAAAGGATAAGTTAAAAAAATAAGAAAACAAAGGATGGAAAAAAATGAATAGTTTCCACTTTCTAAAAGCTTAATTGAAAATAACATGTCTTAAAGATACTTTAAGGAAAAAAAAGTAAAACTAGGTTCCATGAGTCCATTCCTGAAAAAAATGGCTGTGAAATCATAATTCCTTCACTATCTCATCCAATAAAATATATTATTTCCTGCCTGCTTACACATACGGAACCTTCCTCTCTGAGTCTTTGGCAAGAGCATGCATACGCATAACATTGCATAAAGTAAGATATATTTACCCTTCACAGGTTGCCAAGCTGTCAGGACTGATAGGGAAAGACCTGGTCACTCCCTGGGATATTTATACTGGAATAAAGTGCGAGACTGCACCTTGTGTGCGCACAAACCTGCCCAGTGTTGCTAGCTCAGTAGAGGRTATCCCCAGGCTGGGAAGAAGGTTTTGCAGCCTCTGGAATTTCCATGTTCCTTTGGTTGTATCCCTTATGGTACCCAAGGAGAATGAGCCTTGCTCAGGAGTGCCGCCGTGGGCAGCCCTGCTGCCTTGAGGTCCAGACCATGCCTGCTTCCATGCAAAAGCAGGAGAGCACCAAGGACCGAGTCTGTGTGGAAATCTGTGCAGGATGAGGGTGATCATTGAATGCCTGGTGGAGAGAGGACTCTGCTTATTGTAACACTGAGGTGTCTCAGTCACTGCAGCTTCATTCAACCATAACCACTTTCCTCTTCAGATCCAAGTGACCCGCTGCCTCAGCCTTCACATCTGTCAGCAAGGCTGAGGTCTCGTCCTATCAGCCTGATGAGGGACACGTGCCCAGACTCCTCAGACAGACAGGGCTTTGCATCTCTCAATGCCAAGAAGTGCTCTTGCCCTTTTGCTAGTCTCTTAAATGAGCTAATATAAAATTTGACCTCTGGATTACTTTGCAGAATAGTTCAACCAGAACAACGTGTCCAGGTAGCTTGAAGAAACAGCCACACAAGCCCTGCTATGTCTTTTTATATGATCTGACCTAAGAGTGACTCCATCTACCTCAGAATATGTTGTGATGTGACAGAAAAGAGAGGAAACAGGTAGAGACAGCTGCTCATRGATCAATGCGTATGCCATATGAATTAAGTGTACAGCATATCAATTTAGTAGTTTTTCTTCAAGCTACCATGTATTAAAAAAGAAAGTGGAGTGAATCAGAGACTTCTGGCACATGCTGGCACCAGTACTTACTGTTGCAGGGACTCCATCCAGCTGTCTTGCTCCATGGTTTGACACCAGAATCCCATTKACCCCATTCTTCACAGCTTCTTTAGCATCATCAGCTGAAAAAGGTAAAAAAAAAAAAACACAGATACAGCCTTCCAGAACTGGCAACTCATTCACACTTCCAGAAGGGAAATTATGGCATCACTGAAAAAAATATATACTCRGGGTTTCATCTTTCCAAAGTATGGGCCTGCAGTTCCTACCTACTGACATAAGGAGACCCATAGCACAGACACACAGACCATGTGACAACTCCAGGTACTTACTTAAGCAGCTGCTTTTGCCAGTGTCTTAGATGCTGCAATCATATTCCTTCACATGCTCTCTATAGTCAAGAAGGGTAACAAGTACATGTGGCCACAACATTGACCTGAACCTTGAGCCAAAAAAGGCAAAATCTGTTTCTTTGACTTTTTCTTAGCCAAAAAAACCCCACTGCTTGTCAAAAGGAAGAAAAATCTGTCTGCCTCCGAGACCCTCTTCCATAGAAGGTGCTTGTATACACAGCCAACAGACACCTCCCCAGTTCCCTCTGAACTGAACCTAACTGGAACTGACAGGCATCTAATGAAGTCTGTCACCTTGCAAATCCTGACCACACATCAGGAGGAAAGAGGTTTCYTCTTATTCTTGGCTTTGTTTTGGCAAACCTTCCCCACTTAACAGAGCATGCCAATATGAACGTGCATCCCAACACATTTAGCACCAGCAAAGCAGGTGCTTGCAGCGATGCAAGGCTACTTGCAAYGCGGTTCTGCAGAGGCTGCAGCAGCACGAGCATCTTCTCATCCTTGGTGCCCACGCTAGAAGCAGGACCTTGTCCCCTACGCACCCCTGAGGATCCCTTTGGCCACAATGGGCAGCGAAGTCAGACTGCGAAGCCACTTAATGTCCTCCCACTTGATGCTTGGGTCAATGGCATCGGCAACGTACGCAGCCAGGCCGCTGTTTTCTCCAAAGTCTTTCCCAGAGGAGAAGGCCAAATCATCGCTTGAAAAGTTTTTCAGTCTAAAATGACAAGGATGCAGAAAATCAGTTTGAGAAATAAGAGTCTGAGAAACACTCATTGTAGTATTAATAGCATCAGTCCTTCACACCAGGCTTTAACACACCCCTGTGTTGCACTGCAAGGTAGGAATGAAGRTGCCTATATCAGCATGCTCCTTATTAAGCCAAAACCTATTGCCTGAGGAAGCACTTGATAACTGGTGCAAAGCGCTCTTGTCCAATGCAACACTCCTGTTGTTTCCAAGGGAAATAAGACCAACCCAGAATCTAAAGATTCAGGATCAAACTTGCCATCAGGAGGCAGAATCCAAAGAATGCAACACTCCACCAGTTCTTCCTTTGCCTTTTATGTGCATTTCCATGGAAAATGTAGGGGGGAAAAAGTAAAATTCATAATGTAAGCTTGTAAGTGTAAGCTTTTATTCACTCTGAAATGCCAAATCAATCTCATCATTCCTAGGAACTGAATTGAAATGACAGTCCCTGCAAGAGTTTACATCTTCCTAGGCAAAACAGCAGCAGCAGCAATGAGGACCCATCAAACAGCTAAGGCCGTGCTGACGKAGCAAAGCTGAAGTAGATACCCCCAGGGCTCACAAGCCCTAAAACAAGATCAGTGACCGCAGTGCTGCCAAGGACACCATCAGCCCCAGCTCTGGAAATCTTCCTAGCACCTTCAGTTTACCAGCAGGTGACAGTCACATTGCCCAGAGTCGTGTGTCAAGGAGCACAAGCAGGAACGGAGCTCAGGCCCCTGGTCCTTCAGCTCCTAACCCTACAGGATGATGGCTGTTTTCCTGAAACTGTTACTCCTTCCATATTGGAATATTTTATTCTCATACTCCACATTTGAGGAATAAACAATATTTTTGCATGGAAACTGCGTGGTTTCACTTCTGATTTCATGCCTACAACAAGTAGCATTTCTCATGGCTTTCCTTTTCAGCTCCAGGCATAGCAGAAAATGAGAAAGGAGCAGGCGCTCRCAGCAAAATCCAGATTTTCAGCTGTTGGCTTGGGGAGGGTGGGGCATGCACAGAAAAACAGAACCATGGATAAGATTATATAAATAACTGTTGTTTTTCTTGGACTGTGAAATGCAGATCAACACTTGGATGAATGTTGCCTTACATACATTTCTGAGCACAATGGCACCTTGTTGTTACTTCAAAAACTTTGTTGAAAATCTAAAGCCAAGAAAAAGTTATCATATAACTGTGCAGAGCTCTACACTAGAAAATTTCACCTCTGACTCTGCAACAAAACGCTGTCCGAAAGTCATTTTGAAATCTAAAGTGATGAATTTGAACCTCCAAAGATTACTCTAGCTCTATATTATTTTATATGTTTCACTCAAACAAAACTTATTATGATTGTGTTAGGTGAGGTCAAAGTGAGCATTTCAGAAATGCTCCATTGCTTTTCTCAACTATTTTTGGATTATTTGTCTCACGCTCAAACTGTTTAACTTGAACCCCAGTTCTTAAAATGATATTGCCCCTAAGAAAAACTACTTCATCCCCGAAAACATAATTCCCTTCGGTAAGAGGACAAYATGCATCAAAAAAGTTTTATCAATTGCAGATGCACAGCAGGATTAAAGTTTAGGGCATATGCATATCAGCATACTATACTTTAATGTCAGATTCTCAGGGCATTCATGCTTTTACTCCTGAGATCGTATTGCAATGCAGAAAGAAAAAACCAGCGTGGGCAGAGCTAAGCTGACCTTTACCAAATCATTTATTAATTTCTGATACAGATGCAAGGAGGATGATCCCACTCTCAGCCTCTTGAKCTGTGCTGCAGGGAGGAAAACTGTTTCATTATACAGCTGCATGATTTGATATTGAATTGAATGTTACCAAAATGACTAAGGACTTCAGGGTATGATTTTCTGTCTCTTGCTATGCTAATGTTATGTACGGTATGTACAAGGCACAGTTTCCTTGGAAGATGTAACACTTYAGATCTGTTCAAAAGATTTCATACTTGCACTCAGAATTCAAATCAGACTTAATCTGTTTCAAAATACCCTTCCTCTTCCATCTCACCCTCTCTTATCCTTGTGTTCCTGTACATTGCAGGCTCTGGATAAGAGTAAATATGCAAGGTTTAAGTTATGCCATTCTAGTCTCCAGTCAACACCAGTACATACATGTCAAGGAAAACAAAAACCTCATTCTCACAAGATTTTGGCTCCATTTTGCAAATGCTTAGAACACCACCATGCTTAGAAGACCAGAGAACTCTCTGGTTAAACACTGCATAGGCGCAGCAATAACTAGGATCTACAAGTAGGGCTAAAGTTAATTCTTACAAAGCCACTGATCATGGTGAGTTAAAGCAAGAAGTCTCAAAAGATGAGTCAGGGTGGAAATTGCCCTCATGGATCATTTAGGAAGACTGACCCCCTGTATTTCTGTGTTTGACTTGAAACACTAGAATTGAAGTTGCTTGAAAGCAATAGCAATAAAGTCCTGGACCTACTGCAGAGCCAGGATATCATAGGTTACAAGAGACCTTCCAGGACGTAGTCCAACCAAATCACTCAGATCATGACCAGCTTGGCAATTAGATCCAATGCGAAGTTAGCTAAGGTTTCTCAGGGCCATGTCCAGTTGATTTTTGACTATCTCCAATGACTATATACATTGCCAGATGTGTAAAGAAATGCCCCATTGCACTGACTCCAGCAGTCTCCCCAGCACACGATGCATCTTTTACAGAGAGCAAGCAGCCAAGAAAACTTATTTTTGTGTTCAGRTGAACCACAGCTGGAGCAAAGCAATCCAACATGTGCTCAGTTCCCAGTGGGAAAGCAAAGGTGGGGTACGTCACCCAGGAAAARTCTGTGGTGAATCCACCGGCAGCATCTCAGGGAAGGAAGCAGCGGTGCTGACCGCAGCCCTGTGCTGCGTGCAAGYGGATACCTGAGGTGGGGAGGCAGCTGGAACTTGTTGCGCACGTCGTCGAAGCGCCTGCCGAGGAACGGCGTGTCCACCGTCACGAAGATGCCCTTGTAGCCGGCCCGCTCGGCGCGCCTCACCAGCGATTCGGTGACCTCCCGGTCCTTGTATATGTAGAGCTGCAGCCAGCGAAGGCCAGCGGGAGCTGCCTCAGCGACCTCTTCAATGGAGGAGGTGGCCCAGGAGCTCAGCATCATTCCTGTCCCCACTGCCTGGCAAGCTGGAGGAACACAGACACATCAGGGTCAACACGGAGGCTCCYCTGAGTAGGAGCACTTGGCATGAACCACAAGACAGGGCCAGTCCACGTAACCTCACACTTCCCTTCCTCGGTGCAGATGCACRTTTTCAGTGCTCCAGGGAACACTAGAAGCTCTCCTGATGAGCTGCCCTGGGACTAACAGCACAAGGCTCCAGCTCACGCTCTGTGCTCAGCTGCCTGCAGCTACTCATGATGATCCCTGCACCAGTGCTGCAAACAAAGGGTGTTACACACACACTGAGCCTCGTCCCATGTTGCTAGTTCCTCCTCCTACGGGCCCGGCTTTGCAAGGCCCAGCCTTGGGCTGGCGGCCTCCACAGGGGCGACATCCAYTCCAGGCTGCACTACTAACCACGATTTTATGAATCTATCACTTATTCTTTTCACTGTAATCTATCATTTAATATAAAGGAAAACACACTGTAAAATGTAAAAATATTACGTAAAGCCTTGTTTTTCTTGGTCTACCACAGTATGCATACCTTTAATGTAAATGGGCCTCTGTTTCAAAAACCTCATCTCTGTTTCAAAACCTCATCTCTAACCTATAGGGGTATTAAAAAGTAGCATTTTATTAAAAAAGATTACAGATCTCTTTGGATGAAAACTTATGAACAGCTTATTCAAAAAAATTGGTTACACCCTCTGACAACCACCAGGCCACTTTCAATCAGGAAAAATAACCCATCTTTRCTCTTCTGTCTTGCAGATTTTGCTACCTTATGAAGAACTGTACACTATAAAAGGCAGCGCCTTTCAAGCAGTAGCCAGAACAAACATCTGATAAGCCTCAGAAAATGCTGTTTACTTCTACTTAGACTCAGCCTCAGCTTCAAGAAGTGGCATATTTTAGTTCATGATATAAGCAGCATTTTTGCATCTCTTGCATCTAGGCARTCCTGGTGGGAAGTGAAGTAAAGCTTTCACTCTCCTGCCTAGCCAAGAATGGGTGAGTTAAGTCACYGATTTTTCTTCACTCATCACTTGCAAGCAGACTGCAATCTACTCTAAAGGCTAAACAGGTCAAATTATTCACCAAATTGAAAGACCCTCACCTATTTGTTATTGAGCACTTGAATTATCTGCCAGTCTGACAGGAAATAACATCTCCTGTTGGATTAAATAAGAACAGCTTGGATGTGTCCAACCAAATACAGGCATCTGCACGTGGTGTATTCTCCCATTTTCAGTGAAATGCAACAGCCATGGCCAGGGTTCAGGTCTCCCACGAGCTATGACARATGCCACAGGGGAGCAGATCACACGTAAATGACTCAAGTTAGGTGAGATGAATTGCACCTTGGCTGCCCACCTGCATCACTGCATTTTTAAACTATAATTGCTGGTATACTCACTTGATTACAATATACAGGAACAAAAATTGAGATGAAATAAGGTGAAGGTATTAACTGACTCAAAGCATAATTTGATTTAGTGATGAAAGCCAAAACAGTTCATGCCAGTTTGAAAGCCCAGGTTGAGTTCCCCCTGGTAAATAACAACAATAAAAAGTTTTCTACGCATCTGGGACATGCTCTGCCACAGAACAGGATATTTCCATGGCAGTACATGCACATATCTATCAAAGAACTGAAAAATTTCAAGTTCTAGCCATTTGATTAGTTACTGAAAGCGTTCCCTACTCTCACATTAAAAATAAGTTTGAGGAGCCCATGTAAATTGAATGCCTAAATAAAACAGCAATAGGTGGAGTTCCCTTTGGTGGGTGCTTATAAATCCCATCACCAGCCATTTGCTGATAAAGTCCCTGAAGGGAAGCTAAGCAGCAAGGGGTCAGCATTCCTGCCTTCCATCAAATACGTGCTTATGGATGAGGGGGAGGGCTGCTCACCCAGTCATTGCAAAACTCTCAGATCAGATAAGGGRAAAAAATGTAAATGTTATGGTTCAATCTGTCTTTAGGTATCTGTATTTCTATTCTTTATTCTCAACTCTTATTGAGCCCTTCTACAGCCCTAAGGGCACAAGAACAGTTGCAAATGTATCAGCAAAAGCAAAATTTGCACTATAACCTATTCAGGGAATGGAAATTTTTTAGACACATTAAATAACTCCATATCCTCCCCATTTATTTGTATGYATGGAGATAGGGAAGACAACATTTACATCTTATTGCAGATCAAAGTAGTTTGGTTCAATGTGGGTTCAACCATCACAACCCAGATTATAGAGCTTTCATAGAAGTATGTCCACAAAACTCCTGTTGTGTATCCTATAAAATTAACCATTCTCTGGTAAGGAATAAACTTGAGTCATAGTTTAGATCTGCATGATCAAATTCCAAGTCTACACACACACACACAATTTATTCAAACTTCCATTTTTCCAGGAGGCTTGATCAGAAAGCTGACCTACGCTGTATTTGTCTTGATCATTTTAAGCTTATTTTGACAATTCTGCAGACTTTCAAAAATGTATGATAAATATTCTTGAAGCGTTGCCAGGTCTTTTTTTTTTTCCCCTCCCCAGCATCAAGCTTTGCTAAAAATATGCTCTTTCCACTAGGATATTTTAGCTGCAGTTTAAGAAAACAGAAGTAATCCATTTCCTCTAACAGTCACATTTAAGACTCCAAGTTCAGGGTGCTACAAATATTTTAAATTAAGATTCAGTACTGGATCCATATATCCATGGGACACTTTTGCAGCAATGTGAGATTTACCAGTTTACAATCAGATTTTTGTAAATCAGCCTTTCTTCAGTCCATTTCAGTTCACTTTTAGTCTTTTTTTGGAACAGGGTGGGGTCTATCTTTAAGCCCAGATAGAGAGCACTGCCCAAAAGTCTACACTCACCTTTAAACGCAGTGAGAGCTTCCACCAAGCACAGCTCAAGGCATACACAGGAGTCTGGCAGGAGTTTTAAATATCAGCATAATAAGCCTTTAAGCTCTTCATACTTTGTCTTTTCTCAGGATCAGATTKTGTCATAACAAGGATGGAGGTGAAGCATTTGGGAAGGGGGATCTGCATGGTCTTCCCTTTCTAGCTGTATTACCAAAGTACCTGGTCCCCACCAGCCCACGCCAGTGGGGAGACCCCATGAGCTCCAATCCACAGCTCCACATCTCTGCTTGGTCCAGTGAGGCCCTAAGAACACTAGAGGTGACAACATCTCTCAGCTCTTTTTTTTTTTCCCCCAGTCCTAAACCTATAAAACTCCTTCCTCCTTAAGCAACTTCTSATAAGACATCACTCCAACCACATGGAAAGGACACAGATGCAACATATTTCAGGGAATGACACCAAAGAAGAGCTTGGTTTAAGTCTGAATGTTTTGTCAGGGTTCACCTGTATACTTAGTGGGAACTTTTCTCTTGCTGTGCATATTCTCATCACTTCCCTTAGGGGAATCTCTGACAGAGAGACCCTTTGAGGGGCAGCCAAAGCTTCCCCCATTTGGTCATTCTAACCTGAATCCACCAGTAAGTACATGGTCCCTAAGTTTGAGGACAGAGTACATGATCTGGGATCAACAGAGCACTGTCCTAGTGTAGTGGTTATTTCTCAAGAAAAGTAGCTATGTTTTTTCTAGTTGCATCTCCTAACAAACAAAATTGTTTAAAGTGCTTAACATTAGTTGCTGAAACACACTTGGCTGAGAAATCCCCTGCCCTGCCTTACGCGACTTGCTCCTTACAAAACAGCACATGCTACTGGGGGCTGTTACGGGTTTGTTGATGCAGTGCATTTTGTCAGCTGTGCAGGAAGGCGAAACGCAACAGAAAATATGAGYGAACAAGGCAGATTTGGCTGGTCTAGAAGGCAGGGCTGTCACGCCAGACAGCCTGCGTGGCTGCACCAGGAAGCTCCCCAGACAGGCCAGTCCCTGCCATCCCCAGCAAAAGCCAAAGCCAGGTCAAGTATTCTGCTCTCAGCAAGTCTACTGAGACTTCTCAGAACCTAACGTCTTGACAGCCCCTCTAAAGCTAACATTTCGGGGAGATGACACGCAGGCAAAAGGCAAAGGATGAATACCAAGGGCTGCCACGGTCACAGGGGCCATTACAAAAAGCAGCAGGTTGCAAAGTCCCTCCTTCACAACCTCATCAGATGCCATTGGCAGGAGAGCACAGAGAGCCACAACTCAGGTGGTCAGCAGCACAAAAGCTAACAGAGAAGATTACAAGTCTGTCAAGAGCCAGAGGATCAGCAACTAGATGGAAAGAATGTACTTTCTAGGAATAAAACAAGGTGCATTGAGAGAGCTTTTAGTCCATGTTCCTATCCTCTATTTGGCAAAGCAAACAGWGCAGTCCCATCATCGGTGATGGTGAAACCCTCCTTGCATCAGCAGCAACTCAGGAAGTTGTTTGGGAGCAACTGAAGAGGAGAAACAAAATGATGAGGTCTGAATAGCTGGCGTTCAAAGTTTCCAAAAGAGGTGGCCAAGAACATGGTCAAGATATGCAGGCTGGTGTTCAGCAAGTCTTGAGAAGCCACTACAATATTGCTTCTGGACTAAACAGAATATTAAATATGTTGATCTGTAAGAACTGAGACCATTTAAACAATTAGCATAGACACAACTCTTGTCAAAATAATGCTACCTATCCCTTTATAATCCCTTTATAGTCTGTCAGTTCAAAAGACTGCTGTTCCTTGGTAAGCAGCTGGAGAGTGAACAAGATTTTTTGCAGTGTACTTGAACGTGAGCCCTAAAGGGCCATGAATACTACTGCCCTCCCTAAGGGGGTGTGAACTCCAAAAACATCCCAGGGAACACACCAGATGTGGAAAAAAAAAGGATGAAATCAGCATGACAAGGGCATGGCTTGGTGTGAAGGGACACTGAATCTTCCAAGGGCTGAACTGAAAAAATCACRCAGAATGAGAACAGTTCTGCTCAGTTTGGTTAAAAAGTGTTTAGAGACCAGCCCTTTGCTCTCCAATGGTGGCTAAGATTATTCATCAAATCTGGCAAATATGTTTAGTTAAGAAGTCAAAGGGAGAGTAGGAAGGAAAAGAAGAATTCACAGAAGTCAAAATGTCATGTGTTGATATTTTCAATGGAAATGTTTTCTTCTGAACTACACTTTTGTTTCAAAACAGAACTATGGTTAAAGGCATCAGCTAGTAGGAAAATGAAATAAAACATTGTTTTGGATCAAATCAGACATTTCAGTTGATCCAAAACAATTTTCCTCCAACTTTTAGCCCCTAATGAACAAAAAATCCATTATTTGCAAAACTGTCAAATACAGTGATGAACTGCCACTAAAGTACTATGGAATATATTGAAGAAAGAACATCAAAAACTGGAACAATTTCTTACCAGGTCTATGAGACAAGGTTCATGAAATGTTTTAAAGGATAAGGAATACTCCAATAGTAAGGATAAGAAAAGACTACAGGTCCAACTAGAGATGTCAACTAAAACCAAGTGACCTTATAATTTATTAGACCCTAWGTAGAGAATAGATTTTATTTTCTAAGTCTAGCTAACAAAAGTATGAATAAGATCCRACATCTGGAAGCTGAAGCTATAAAGATTTGGATGATCATTGTGGTTGTATTACTAAGAGTAGAATTAGCTTTCGGAATAATTTAACAATTAACCAGGACTGCCCATCACAAGGAATTTCTAAAATCAAAGTTGTTCTCTTCTCCAGAACACATGCCTTATGAATAAAACTGCCAATAAAAGTGTGTCCTCAGCAAAACACCACCTCTATTTYAGAGGGTGCAGGCAAACCCCCAGGAAGAACAGAGCACCATTTAAAGCAAATTGCTGTTTTAGGGCATAGGGAAGTTCACCGAGAGGCTCAGCTCTGGTGTTTGTAACACAAGGATGGAGCAGACTTGCTCATCCCACTCCCGTGCCACCGGCTCTGCTGGTGAGCGCGGTGTCACCATCTCCACAAGGTTGGGTCTCTTGGAGGTGATGTCCATGTCCAGGCTTTGCTCCATCTGCTGCCTAGGCTCAGCTCAGTGAGAAAGCAGCTCTGGGCTGGACTTGAGCTGCAGTGCCCTGCACTCGGACACCTGGGCCATCACTTCACCCTGCACAGCACATGGCCTTCTGCACACCTGTGCCCAAAGTCCAGCTTATCAAGCACACTGTGTTCTCCAAAAGCCACAAGATTACATATCAGATTTTCTTGGCTTGTGTAAATGGTAATAGTTGAAGCAAAGGTGACTGAAAGCAACCAGCAGTCTGCTCGGGGCGACTCAGAGGTACCTTGAAGAGTTTAAGAGATGCTGGATGCAACAAAAGCCCTGACCCCAAATGTCCCAAATTTAAGGGAAGCTTTAAGCCAAATGTGTACTTTACAGTTAATCCCTGTCATCTTATAAGGTCAAACCAGAAGCTTGGCACTGAATGTCCCACTCCACCTCTAACAGAGCAGAACACTGAACCCTTTTTTTTCCCCTTTCCTCCCTACAAGAAAAGTTAATGCAACACAGAGGGTGTGATTTTAATTACCCTCTCCTTTGAAAGAGATTAAAAACTTACTCTCAAGCTTATGTTTATTTGACCACATATTCAAATTGTTGCCAGTACACCAAGCCCTTCTAGTTTTCATTTAAAATCCAAGAAAAATTAAATGCAGTAATCATGTTAAAGTTTGAAACAGTAAGTGCACAAAAGCCAGGAAATTCCAAAATTAAGTTATCTACCACAACCATAACTCAGGCCTGGTAGTTAGCTTATTGTATCACTTGACTGTACACCCAGTTAAAGATTTATGTCTTAAAATGGGGCCAGACCATGGCATGGGTGGGAAATCCAGGCTATGGAATGTTCTGAATTTAGTGCATTTCAAGTCTCCCTTTTAACATTGTATTAATATGTTTGCATTTAACAGTATTACTCTTCAGAGTTTCCTCTGCAAAGTGAAATCAGCAGAAGCCGGGCCAGAAATATCTGCAAAAGCTGCCAAATGACAGCACTAGCAGGAGGGACCGTGGCAGGAGGCCGCTGCTCAAATCAATGCAAGGTATTGGAGCTCCATCGTGTGGAATGGGGCTGCTTCTACATGACGGGCAAAACCTTGGGTTCCCTATAAATCTCTTGGGGAATTGGAGGCACACCTCCAAACAATATAAATCAAAGAAACCTTTTAYAGAAAATACGATTCTGTCTAGCCATGACTGGAGCCTAGGCCTAGCAGAAGGCCTATGTTTGAGTAAATCCTTGCATCCTGGAGCTGTGCTGCAGTTCTCCCTCGCAGCCACGCTGCTTTTTGAAGGGAACTAAGATGAGCTCTCACTGCAGGGTATGTGATTAGATTCACTTCATGCCAGCGCTCGCTGCACTGCTTATGGAGATGCTGTTCAGTGAAGAGCTCAGCCATGAGCTGCRCTCAGGTGCTTTCATTGGGGGCCTCGCTCATTCCCCCTGTGCTGGATCCCAGCAATGACTGCCCAAGCTACTCATGGGCAGCAGGTCCCGTGTGCCGTTTTTCAGTTTTGTGTCATTTTGCAGCTCAGGATAAGGAAGCTTCACACATAAACCCTGTCTAATACCTTATTTTGCCCAGACTTTTAGGCTTATTGACATCTTTGTGCAGCGCCTAGCCCAGAGGGGCCCTTATCTTGCTGACTCCCAGGGATGCACTCAAAGAGCTGTGGTCAAAGTGAAGGTCTTTTACAGGCAAGCAAAGGTTTCTGAATTTCTGGGGACAAAGAAACAGATTGTCACTGCTCTTCATTAACAGCTTGGTGATAGGAAACATGTATTTTCACAAAAAGCATGCATTTTTTTATAGACCATATAGGCAAACTATGTGTACTATACAGTACATATAAATTTTTTTATTTGTTCAAATAACAAGAATGTCTGGAGACCTATATGCCTTAGAAAACAGAGCAGCTGTAGCTGTATCTCAGTGGGCAGGAGGAGCTCGAGAGCAGCTTTCTGACAACAGGTGGCTCTTCAGCCTCACTAAAAGGGCAGTAGCAGTTTTGTTGAAAAAATACAAGCAAGCAGAAGAAAAGCAGAGATCACGCTATGGTTTGGTATCAGAAGAGGCAAGAAACAGGCAGTTCCTCTGTGATTTCATTTCTAAATCAGAACTGACAGACTTTTCTAAGAGACATTGCTGGAGTCACGCAAAAAAACCCACCAGCCTTGACTAACATTATGCAGGAACTCATACTGCACACRTGTTGCAATGTTCCTGGCCTTAAAAAAGTAATAATTATCTATGAATCTATTTACCTGTATTATAGCAGATTACAAAGCTTCTTCAGTTTTCCAAAAAGATCTGATCTTCACCACAGGGCTCTTCCAAGAGACCCAGACATTGGGCCAAAGGGAGAGCTGCCAGGGCCGCTGCTCAGTCCCGTCCCACRTTGGGCAGCCTCGTGCCCTGCTCACGCTCCCCACATCCATCACTGCCACCAGCTGCGCTGGGGACGTGGCTGCTCTGGCTGGTTRTTTTACTGAAAAAGCTTTTGGAGGAGCCCAGTCTGCGAAGGGATGAGATGGGGTGGRAGGCTGCTTGCAGCCAGGGAGTGTGTTGGAGCCTACGGTTCCTCTTGTGCAGGGAAAAAGATGGAAGCTACATGTGAAAATCAAGTAATGCAAATGCTGCAAGTCACTGTGAAAACCTGAACACCTCAGAGCCAGGATTTTGTGAACAACACATTTCCTAGGAAGAGAATTTCTAATGAGACAGCACGAGCCAGGGGCTTTCTGATTTTAGCYGGTCAGCTCCTCTCCCTCCCAAGGCCAGATTCTCAGCTCATGTAAAGCAGCACAGCTGCACTAYGGAGTTGGGCTGATTTCAGTAGCCAAGGGCCAATCTTCCAAAATGGCCAGAGAACCCAAAGCAGAAAGGACTAGYGCCTACCTGCAAGAGCATCAGCCTTATCATGAGCTTCTGAAACTTAGGCATAATTTTATGTGCTTGTTCTCATCAATGATGTGAAGGCAGAGTTATAAAGTAGTTRTTGAACTGAGCTCTCTACATCAGCTTCCCACCCATTTCCCCATTGCATAATGCACTTCTCATYCCTCTTCCACATCAGGGGAGAGCATACAGGAGAACACACGCCAAAAGAAAGCAGCAAAAATAAACAGATACATAAAACCAGTCAGTAGAGGCAACGACTCAACCCCACGAGGAGCAGAGCAGTGCAGACGACAACACAGGGCGGCACGAGTTGCCGTCAGGGTGTCACCCTGCTGCCCTTACCTGCCGCGGTGGCCGTCTCGCCGTCGGCRTGAGCCAGGCGCTGCATCGCGGTCGCTGCCGCGCACACCGGCACGCTGATCGGCTGCCCCAAGACGGAGGTGGACAGGTCCATCACGGACACGTCCCTGAGCATCCGCGGGTACAGCTTCCATCTGGCACRGAGACAAACAGGCAGGGCATCGTGAGCATTATTTACGGTTTCTAATGGCTTTTCTAAAAGACTTTTGTCAGGAGGAAGATTGCAAAGCTGGAGGGAAGGAAGCTGCCAGAGCCATTTGCAAGGCGGGGGAGTCAAAGCTGGAACAAATATTTCCCGAATCACCTGGAGCTGCTGTCACCTGCTGAAATGCACAAAGCCAGGAGGGAGCAGGCAGAGAGGGAGGTCAGCAGAGGGTGGAAGAGGCAAAATGCCTTACAGCACTACTGGCCACTGTCATTAGAAAGCAAAGACAACAGTAACATTTAAAGTAAGTCTCAGATTCCATAAAAGCCTTGGGCAGAACTGGATGAGGAGGGCATCAGAAGCCACTAATCTCCATCTAGTCTCCTGTGGACCTGGGAGACCCAAGAAACRAGGATTTTCAGATAAAACTGGCCTGGTCAGTGCTCTTTTCTGTCCCTGTCTCTAAGGCCCCCTCCAGTTGCACTTTGCTGCATTTTCTGTTGCTCTCCCTACACTTTCCTCCCCACACTTGTCAGCAAGCAAACGAGGGGCACAGATGCCTTGCATCGTGGGTCTCTGCAATGACACATGAACTGAGTCCTCCCAAGGGAGCAGACAGGCTCCCCGTTCCTGGTAAGCCCAAGGCAGGGAAGCGGGGAAATCCCCTGCTCTACATGTCAGGGCTYGGCAGAGCTGCTTTGCCTGGAGAAGCCTGTTCCCCTGCAGCCACAGGCCGTGGTGCAATGCGTGCCTACATCAAGCAGGACAGCAAGCCTGGAGACTGCCTGTTACACCACAAGGATTTGAGACTTCCAGGAAAACAGTAAAGGCAGCAGCAACAACTGTAATTTGGCAAAGTTACAATCAAATTACAGTCTAGTCCTTGAATGACTTGGCCCAGCAGCTGTTCACCCATTCCAGACCTTGCTTTGATCTTCAAAATGTCCACTTGAACGTACAGCAACCCAAAGCAGGGCTTCATTCTCCATTTAGGGGCTTGATCCCAGAGGGCAAAGTAAAGTTGACTTAAAGCAGAGCAAAAAAAAAACCTGAAACCACCACCACCACCAAGTCACACACCCCTTACATGAAACTGCAGGTTTTTTTGCAATCAGACAAGATATCACATGCTAGGACACTGAGAAATTTAAGTGCAAAAGCCAACACAACAGGACCAGGATTCCTCTCACTGAGAGGAACAGGCAACTCTGCAGCACCCCAGCATCTAGCAGTGCAGTGGCATTCATGGGGGGCTGCTTTTTTCTCCAACCCGGGGCAGTTGTAGCACAGTCCCTTCTGCTGAGAGCCACCACAGGGTCTGTGTCAGCAGGGGAAGGACCAACAGGCATCCCTGACTTGCTCATGCATCTTCCCCTTTGAAAGGGCTCCACACTTTCAGGCGATAGTTACTGAATTTTAAATAATTAAAAGCTCASTAGCACTGCTGAATCTGGTTACCTGCTCTGTGCTAGAGTGCTTSTGTTCTCCAATATTACTATGAGTGTTAAGATGATATCCAGGACTGCASTCTGACGTTCACTAGTGGCCAGTTTGAGCCCACATACTAACTAATTAGGAGAAAAAAGAAAAAAGCTACATGAAGTTTTAATATATATCCYCTGCAAAAAGATGGAGAGAAATTTCCAAAAGAAACTTGGGACAGTCAGGGTGAGACCCACATTTCTTAATCTCTAGAGCACCAGGCTGGGCTCTCCTGAACATGCTCCCCAGGGAGAAGGATGGTTATGATGCTTGGAAGAAGAGATGATGTTTTGGGAGGCAGCTGTATAATTTGATGCCAAGACACACATAGCAAACATGTATCCTTAGGCATGTTTTCATGCTATTGGATCAGATTATTATTTTTCAGGGGAGGAAGTGCTGAGGGTGGGACAAAAGAAAACATGGATTTTTTCTTCCTAATCTTCATTCCAAAGCTTTTCTCCTAATTGAGACATCTTTTCCCAGCAAAAAGAAATAACAATCCTTTAATGTCTTTGCTCAGGTTCAGTATCAAGCTCAAAGCATAAACCAGGTAAACCTTTTCATCACTGCACAGATCTAAGGATCAGTCCTAAAGTGCCAACATTCACAGCCTTCCCCCCAGCTGGGCTCCCAGCRGTGTGAACAAGGAACAAGATGCCAYTGCAAGTGGTGATAAACACCCTCCTCCCTGTTACCTTCCACCACAGAGCTCCAGCCACCACCTACGTGGACCACCAGATTCGCCATCTCCAGGCTTTAGAAGTGAATCCTCCCCTCCAGCCCCCTTGGTGCCTCCTCTGCACCTTCCTGGGCTGCACAGTCTTGAGCATCATCAACCAACAGCCCTAACAGGAGATTTACTGGGTTCCACCAAAAACACTGAAGGGATCACCAGCTTCATCCTCCCCAAAGAAGAAAAAAGGAGGGAAAACAAACAAAAACAGACAGCCACCCTGCCCAAGTGGCTTCTCTAGCTGGGGTTTTTCTGGCTGTTGATGAGTCAGGTGCTTGAGGCACAGCACTTTCTGCAAAGCCATAGGGAAATGCCCTCAGCAGCAGCAAGAMGACAGGTAGTTCCCAGGAACCACAGCTTGCGTTCACTGCACTGTCTCACAGAACCTGCTTCCTCCCGGTCACTAAGGATAAACATTTCCCAGGCCTTTTGTAAAAACCTTAATTTTTTCTTTTGTCATGCACCCTTTTCCCCCCAACCTTCTTCTCCAGATGAAGCCCACACTCATGCACAATAATAACCAGTTAACAATAAGTTGTTAGCTCTTGTCTCAGCTGGTAGCTGGGGAGCTGCTACATGGAGGAAGGCTGTGTGTATCCCCCACCTGGCAGGTGAGTTAGAAGTTATTTATCAAGAAGGATAGGTGGGAAGGGGAAATTCTCTTCCCTCTGTGCTCAAAACTTTCCATATAGATGGTCAAGACAAAAGAGGAAAGCATTCGATATTTTCCCCACACATTTTCAGCTGGTGAAAGTCTCATGATACAACRTTTGCAGCAGCTCTTCTTGCTGGCCTCCAGGTCAGTAATAAATAACCCCTCCGCACTGAATGGCTGGTACAAGGAGGATCCACTGTCTGGGTGAAGTCCCTATCCCAGTTCCAAGCTGTTTTGCTACCTTAGCCTCCCCTGCATGCTCTTCCTCCATCATAACCTGAGGTGCTCTTCCTGTGCACTCTTAAGCAACAGCTGCTTTTTCTTAGGAAAAGGACTTGATCTTGCAGGGTATCTTACAATGAGCAGCAAGCTGCTTTTCAGAGCACACCAAGCACCCGAGGTGAAGGACACTGCAGAGATGTAACCAGCTTGGCATGAGCATTCCCCCCTTCCTTTCCCCAACAACTATTCATGCCYGCTTGACCCTGGCTGCTCGATAAAGCTGTTCCTGTACCATATATATACGACAATATAACATATTTTCTCCAAATGCCACTGGGAAGTCAGCAGCAGACRGTGTCACAACAGATTAGAAATGTCTTCCTACACACACCTGCGTCCATCTTCATTAAAATGCTGAAAGAGGAGATTTCAGATCACTTCTTGAGTGCCATCAAGCTTAAGGCACCCAACCTTGTCATAAAATCTATTCTCTTATTCAGCCCGATTGCTTCCTTGGCAGCTTGAGAGTGAATTTAATCATCAGACAAGCRCAGTATTGGAAGGACGCATGGTTTTTTGGGACACAGAATAAATGCAAGGTGAATAAAGTCAGAATCCATAGGGAATAACGTGTGCTGTGACATCTGAAAAATTTCTCTGGCTTAAATGCTTCACTTAGACAACAGCTGTCTCCACACTATTTGAAAATTGTGATGAAAATATCTGGCCTTAGCAATAAAACACTGATTTTGAAACACAAGCCTCAGTTCTTCATTCCAACATCAATCCTAGAATAATGGAAAAATATTAAAGTTACTGCCTGGTGTTAACTACATCCTTACCAATGTCTCTCGAGACTTGAAAAATCTAGTACCTGATTAAGGGACTTCAAACTCCCACAAATTCTCCGTGTTTTCAAAAGGCCAGAATTTCATTTTATAGTCAAAGGCATTTGAATTTCACTTTTCTAGAAACTGCATCTTCCAGAGGATATTGAATTACCAATCAACATATTCATTTACTTGCTGCATCATTCCATAATAGCAATAGCAGTCTATTTGTCTTTCAAAACAAGCATTGGCTTGTGAAAAAAAGGGAAAGAAACAAAAACCCACACCCCACACMCACTCAGACAACCTGACATAGTTATTTTCCTTAACAGTACCTTTTCTATCAGGATTACTCACCAAATAGATTTTGAACAAATGCATGGGGTAAGAATTTATGCTTTTCATTTTTTTCCCCGTTTACAGAGATTTAAAAATATGTATACTAAATATTTAAATAGATTGTAAACTTATATAATCAGGCTGAACTTCATGTGCTAAAATTGCAAGCAATCAAGCCTTTGCCAGTCAAAAAAATCAATGGGAGGCCTGAGGGCGTCAGAAATGAAGCTGAAAACCCTTGTTAAAAGAAAAAAGAGAGAGAGAGAGGGAAAGGGTGACTTGGTGATCTTTGGCAGCAGGAGGCACGATGCACATCTTGGTCTTGCTTTGCATTTCCCCATGAGCTGCACTCAGGAACAGGGAGATAACCAGTAACACACTCAATGCAGACTTGGCAAGACCAGGGCCTGAACCCAGAGTCAGTGGCAATCCTGCCCTCGTGCTTAGACCATGCTTCTCCCATCAGCATCAACTTGTCCCAAACAACTTTTGTACTGTAAAATACTGTGGAGTCCCTACGCTAGCCTGCCACCCCACTCCTCCTAGATACTGTGCTACCAGGAGCCACTGTMAACATGGGCAAATAAGTTGTTAGTTGCAGCATCCAACATGTTGAGGACGGCAAGCAATTTTATCTACCTTTTAAAAATACTTGCAAGCAGATTAGATCCAACTTTTGCTCAAATCAGGATTAGCTATTGTGATTACTGGTTTCAGAAATTCAC